TAAAATTTCTACTATATGAGGTTGTTTTGATGTCCAAATATTCTCAAATTGATTATCTTGACATCAAGATACATGGACATGAGAAAAAAAATGGATTTCAAGTTTTGGAAATAATGTATCTAGTAGCAGTTAATGATAAATGTTGATGTTTTTTTACATCAAATGAATGTTCCATGTATAAAATAAAAGTATAGAAGTGTTCAAAATTAATGGGTACAATGATAAATTACTTCATAGGGGTGAACACTCAAACATAACCTCTATATAAAAAAAAAAAAAATATATATATATATATATATATATATATTCTATGTCAGGATTTGGGTTTAGAACAACGTGCTAGCAGCACATCAACCATCCCATGTCCGATACGGACGGTTGATGTCTTGCAAAGGCTTGTAGCATAATGTTTGAAATCCATATCAAAGCATTGTGCAATTTTCAAAAAAACAGGAAAATATATTAGTTTCAGAGGAAAGGTCATATTTGGTATTTCACAAAAATTTGAGGTGGTACTGTTATGTTCATCACATGGCAGAACGAGGCTCGTTTTAGAGAGAGAGAAGAGAGAGAAAGTCGTTGATTTAGAGAGAGAGAGAGAGACAACTCGTTTTGGAGAGAGAGAGAGAGAGAGACAACATACGAAGCCAGTGAGACAGTGTAGTTCGTTATTAGGTTTACCAGCTGGTCTGAGAGAGAGAGAGGGAGAGAGAGAGAATGGCCATGGCTTTGAACCTCTCTCCATCTCACTCTGCAATTCCAAGCTTTCACAGCTTCTCATCAAATGGCGTCTCCTCACCTCTCCTCTCTCTTCGCATCGCCTCCTTTCCATCTGGCCACCACGTTTCTTTGCTCCACCTCTCAAATTGCAGGCCAAAACCTCTGATTCAGGTTAAGGCGCAAGCTCATTCCCCCTCTTCAGATGGAGGCGATGGAAACAAAAGCGGTGGCTTTGGTGGAGGAGGAGATGGAGGAAGTGGGGGTGATGGTGGTGATGGAGATGCTGGTGAGAGAAACAGAAAGGAAGCGATCCTTGCTTTGGTTAATCTTGGCAGATCAATAGAGAGCTTACCTAAAGATTTGGCATCTGCTATCGAGGCAGGTCATATACCTGGTTCTATTGTGTATAGATTCGCAGAGCTCGAGAAATCGCCCATTTTTAGGTGGTTGCTTGGGTTTGGGGGGTTTAAAGAGAGGTTATTGGCTGATGATTTGTTCCTGGCTAAGGTAGCTATGGAGTGTGGAGTCGGAATCTTTACTAAGGTGGGGTTGAGATTTTGGAAAATGGTTTGATGCTCTTTGGCTTTATACCGTTTTAATGTGATTAAGTTCCTTTTTGCTTTGGTAATTGTTCGTTTTGGGGGATTCTTGTGGTACTTTTGCTACTTTCTTGGTTTCTTTCATACTTTTTGATATGAGTTTGAATGCTTTTCGAAATATGCTTTTTTGCTTTGTGATTCTGTCTGTGGTGTGTTTGGCTACTCCTTTTGCTTTTTTCCATACCCAAACCATTTGGTAGAATCATATGCTTTTGCATGGTGATTTAATTCTCACTTTTTATGTTCTCCTATGGGTATTTGATTTGTGTTTTTGCAATTTTGTAGATTCTGTGGAAAGCTGCCCTTTTTACACATTTTTCTTTCAATTATTACATTCCTGATCTTGTTTGTTAACCATGTGTGAGTTCAGAGAATCGGATGTCTTTCAGTAATTGGACTGCGTGCATAATAGAGCTCCATCATATATAGGGAACCATTTTTAAGAATTTGATGCACTGATTAGATAGGTTCCTTCTATGAATTTTCTGTGTACTCATTCGCGAGTCAATTCTGTTTAGATGATTATTCGAAATTCATCAAAATGATGTGTAGGTTTGGTTTTCTCTTGTGGAAAACTATTGGTGTCACAGGTTTTTGTGCAGTGAGGGAAATGATGTAGCATGCTACCATAATCATCTATTTCGACATACTTTTGTTGGTCGATGAGATTGCACTGTGGACATGCTTCAATTATATTAAGCACAGGCAAATTCAAGTGCCATCCTAACAATTCTCTTCCTCGTATTTATTACTTATTGATATTCCCCAAACTTTGATAACTTAATTGAAAAGAGCACGATGATTAAATAGCTCCTCTCATGGTGGATAAAAATCCCCATAAATCCGATCCCTCCCTTGGATATCCTAGGTATGTTAACCTGTCCACCACGGAACTATTTTCCTTCACAGCCATTATCCTTACACAAGACAAAAGTTCGAATTCTCAGTACAAACCTCACTAAAATTGCTATAACTGGAGATTCTTTCCTAAGCCATCTGTCAATATTTGGAAATTTCCTTTTCCCTTTGGTGATATTAGTTGACAAGTTTAATGTGGCGTCCATGTGAGTATGAATTCTGTCCAACAATTCGTTAGCTTTAAATTCAAGTCCGTTATTCACGAGGGACCTGGAAATGATTTACCACCTCATCAGTTTTATGTTGAAATAATAGCACCAAAACCTAGCAGGGTGCGTTTGAGTTATCTTTGGAGCCTCCATCGACTTTAGCCTCACTGATCTTTGTGGTGGAAGATATAGCATCAGTTACAAGCCTTACCTTATGTTCAAAGATGTGAATCATATACAATCATGATTGTTCTTTATCCCTTTGTTCAAAATCTCATCACACTTTGATGTGCCACCCAGGTTGCCAAGTCAAAAAAACAAAACAGAGAGAGAGAGATTCCCTTGTTATGGTTTTGCATTCAAAGAAATAATGGAATGTCTAGCATCTAAATAGTACCATCATTTCTTGATCTATGCTTGCCTCAAAATCGATGAGAGAGAGAGAGAGAGAGAGAGAGAGAGAGAGAGATTCCCTTGTTATGTTTTTGCATTCAAAGAAATAATGGAATGTCTAGCATCTAAATAGTACCATCATTTCTTGATCTATGCTTGCCTCAAAATCGACACACAAGCAATACTACCAAATATAGGTAAGATTCCTTCCCATACTCTTCAGGTAGAATCACAATGTATTAAGATTTGCTCCATTACTTCTCTATCTTCCATACTCAAGATAAGATTGTTTATTACAAGCCATTCCCTCCATTCTAGTTTGTCAAATCTCTACATCTTTTCCTTATCATCTTATAGGCAATGTAGATTGCAACTCTTATGGGAGCCTCTGCATTCTGTGTTTTAGAGACGAGAATTTGTACTCTCATTTCCACACATGCCTTCAGAGATTTTGTGAAGGTGGGATGTTGCTAATGATACCTTACCTTCACCTACCTATCCTACCTAAACCTTTCCTTCAATATCCTTTTACACACACATTTTCCTTTATATCCTTCCCAAAATTTTTTTTTTTTTAATTGATTCTGCAACATGCAAGTCAAGGAGTCCTCTTCCCTAATGGTGCATTTCTGCAACACTGCACCATTGGAATGAAATTGTTTCCCCTTTACCCATTGTGTGAATCCCTTTCCTAAAATTCATTTACCATTGATTTATTCGTTTTCCATGCCTCAGTAGAAGTACCATGTCTAAGCGAGATTCATGGGAGAATTGGGAGCAGGAGCAGTGGAATTGGAGAAATGTGAATGTAGTCAATTTCAATTTGGAATTGCCTAGGAATCACATTCTTGGGAGCAGGAGCAGTGGAATTGGAGAAATGTGAATGTAGTCAATTTCAATTTGGAATTGCCTAGGAATCACATTCTTTGGAGTGAAAGCAGCTTCCCTGGATACGCAGAATCTAGAGAAACATGAAGGCGATCAATTTCAAATTGGAATTACCAAGGAATCATACCATTCTTGGGAGAGGGAGTAGTTTCCCTGTATAAGAGTTTGGATTCTATGGTTGTTCTTCATCTATTTTTTATTCTGCCCCTCATTGAGCTTACTGATGCATCTTAACATGATAGTTTCTATCCACGTGCCATTTGCATTATCTTGCGAACTCGACAACTATTTCCAATGTCTCTCTTGTACTGTTGTACCCTAAAAAACAAAAGAAAAGAAAAAGAAAAATGGAACCATCTCTCTTTTAGTTTTGCACACTTCCTCTTAATTGATGGACTATTAAGTCACCATGAATGCCATTATTCCATGAAGGAACTTGTTGCATTTTATGATATGTTTTCATAAGAAACTCCATGAAGAAACTTATTTCGTCTTCTGAAATGTTTCAACACCTTTTCTAATTTTATGAAAAGACCTATATTATACTGATTTATGTTCACTATGTTAGCTCCGACAAGAGTCAATTTCTCTTCCCAAGGATATCGATTCCTGTTATTAGACTGCTGGCTTCTTCTTTGTATTTTCTGCACCAAGCTTCATCATATATTTTAGGAGCACTGGACAAAGGGAAGTCACAACTATGTAGTTGGTGTCTTCATCTTGATTGTCCCCATATTTCCATCTGTGTTCTAAATGTTTAATCCATTTATATCTCATGTAGCCTGAGGTTTACTAATTTTTTCCTTCCATTCCAAATCCTTTGAAACACATAAGAATAAAATTTTATATTTAGAGCCTGATCTTCTCAAGCATTTCAAACAAAATAGCGTCATCCAGACCTTGTATTCTGAAAATGAGATGAGACTTTGCAAAAATATTTGTCAACTGCCATCAGCTATCCAGCCACTTGTTAAAGGATTCAACCATTATGGTAGACAGGACCATGTAATTAACTTTCCCATACATATATCTCGTTGCCCCTCCTTTGGATACACTTACTTGATATGAACAAAGAAAAAGAGGGAAATCGGGGGAATTTAGAGAAAGGATCACAATGAGTACCTTGGATGAAATTGAAGAAACAAGAGACATAGTATTTATTCCATTGCAGTTTGCCTTTTTGATCTGCATGTGGGATTTACATGTGGCATTGATTATTGATATTCTCATTTCTTAGCCTTTTGCATGGGGCTAGGGCATCCTCATTGCTTTTTGTTTTTGGATGTAACTACTTTAATTAAACAAAGTTCACTTGCAAGTATGTGTGGCATTTACGTAATGGAATCTACATATAAGATTCAGCTATGTTCCAACTTCCTCTCGATCGCATGATGAAAACTATCCTCCTATGATTCAAAAGGTGTTATACTACTAAGGAAGACTTAGATGTGCCTTCTTTTGTCATTGAGTCTACTAGTTGGTTAGGAATCGTGTTCGGGCCTGGGTGGTTAGTTGTTCACCATTGGAACAATATGTCTTAAGTTCAATTCCTACCATTGACCTACGAAAAAAAAAGAGAGTTGGCTACTTGGATGGAGTCCATATATGCTGGAGCACGGCATACACACAGAACTAGTTCAATCAAAAATCTCTTCAGAAATGTTTTTAATTATTACTTCCTTCCACTTGGGGTGAAAATTTCTCATCCCAGTTAGCAGAGCCCACTGCCTCCATTGCAGTGCACTCATTTAGCACCCTGAATAACATAAAACCACCATACCTAGATCGTTTATCATAACTATTACCTCTACTTTTCTGGTATTGCTAATAAAGTTGCCATCAAAGTTCAACTTCATTACACCCATAGGGTGCGTTATCCAGATTTAAGGTTTACCCTACCTTGGTACGCATTAACTAACAAACGATGATGAATATCTATGCCATTGAATGAGAATGTCTTACCGACGACATATATTATTTGTAAATCTGAAATGGCAATTCAGCCTTTCTCCTCTTCTAATACAGCATATCTCCTGCACATTTTTTATGCCTAGGGTTCATCTATGTTAATTGTTCTGGTTTTACTTTTATATTGCTATTATGTTTCTTTTTCTTCTTTGTCCTTTGAATTGTGTGGGGTGAATCAACATGTTGAATAGTTAAGAACTATGGTCTTCTATGAAGTTGTTCCATAGTTCTTCTGATTCATTTCCTTGAAATTTATAGGAAAAGTTGTTGGATAATATTTTCTATCAGACGTTTAATTTTATTAATAGAAAGAAGTCATGTAGTTTGTAGGCACATAAGTGTAAATTATCATTTTACTTATACTCTCATTGAAATCTCCATTGTTCAGACAGCTGCAGAGTATGAACGCCGCAGAGAAAATTTTGTCAAAGAGCTGGATTTCGTTATTGCTGATGTGGTATGGTTTCCATTATATCCCTTTTTGTGTGTGAAACATTGGAATTTTTCTTTTTCCTTTATTTAAATATCACAATTGGCTACGAGATGGAGTGTTAGTGAAGAATATAGAGTGATCATGCCCTAAGTTTTTTTTCTGGAAAGGTAATGAAGTATTGTATTTATAATATGTGTTTGTACAGTTGTATGTAAAACTACATACATAATTGTTATTTGATATCAAAATATTCTCTGTCAGTGTTAGATACATACAAAATGGCTTCCAACCCTATTGAAGCTAGTGTATCAGCCCTTATGGTGGAGAGTTATTTTGCCAGAATACAGATTGGGTACAAGTATAAACTCCATTCTTGGCTATTGTATCCGCACTTTTGGTGGAGAGTTATTTTGCCAGAATACAGATTGGTAGAAGTATAAACTCCATTCTGGGCTAGTATATCCGCAACTGCATTTGCTTCTATCCAAGTGTTTATGAAGGACACCTGAAATAAGGAGCATATTTGAAAATGTTTTGGTCAAAAAGATGTTTCAAACTGCATGAGCTGCGTGACTTCGTCCACCCTATAAAGTTCAATGAATCCCCTTCCACAAGCAGTTACATACACCAGCTATGACTGAAAAGCCTAAGCACATTGAGGAGTCCCGGAGTTTCAGCCATGGAGTCAGTGCTGACTGCCTAGAGTAGTTGAGAAGGGTTTCACTATGTTTATTTCTGAATGTTCCAACCACACCAGATGGGCATGATTACCTAAGGAACAACAGCCAAAGTTTAATGTAACCACATTGTGAGCAGGTAGGGTACAGAGAGGATCTGCCTGTCTCTGTGGGTTTGGCCCTGATAATAATGTCCCAGTGATTAGCGAGTCTTTGCATGAATACCCATAGAACTCCTAGCAAGATAGGGCCCAAGAGGTCAGTATCCTACGACTATATAAAAATTGATTTATGTGCATGTAGCTCATAGAAAAGCTATTACTTTATAATGATTTCCCAGTCTTCTCATCTGCCAGTTGATGGTGTATGTATGTCTTCAAGTTATTCATGATGGATACCATAAAACAAAAAAAGCTATTCTTGGTGAAATGTTTTTGTATTTCTTGTTGTGATTTGGGATATTCTTTTTAGTATGGTTACTTTTGCTATTACGTAGCTTTAACTCCATTGACAACTTAAATTTCTCAAGAATAGACTAATTGGTTTTATTATAACCTATCACAATCAACTTGGTGAAACTCCATTTATATGCCATAAGTCTTCAATACTAAAAAGCAATAGCTTTCCAAAAGAAAACTTCTGGGGGAGGCAACTTTTTATGACAGCGATGGAGATTCACAAGATCTGAATGTAAGGTATGGTTAGGCACAACATTCATATGCTAGGTGTCTAGATTTTGAATTTGTTCTTGAATATCCTTGGGAACAATATTAATAAAGTGATATACAATAATGCAATGAAATGGCTACTTATCTCGGAAGTGCATTGCCACGCTTCAAGTTACATTATCTTAAACATAGTTACCAGAATCTCTCCACCAACCTCGCATTTCCAGTTCTGAAACCCAATCGTGCGATTCTGCTAAGGAATATCCACTGAAACTATTTTTTGGAACCAAAGAAACTCGATTCCTTAATTTCGTAATCTGGATTCGACCCATCTTTAAAACCATTTTTCGGAACCTAGGAAACTCGATTCCTTAATTTCAGAATCTCGATTCCTTAATTTTAGAATCTCGATTCCTTAATTTCAGAATCTCAATTCAACTCATCTTTAGAAACCATTTATCGAAACCAAGGAAACTCAAATCCTTAATTTTGGAATCTCGATCCAACACATCTTTAGAAATTTGAACCCATTAATTGTGGGTAGACGTTCCCAAATATATTGAATCTGGATTCCAGCGAGGAGTAAATCTTGATTCCTCGTCAGTTGGAGTAGAAATCTTCATTCGAATGCTTCTAGTGGTTGTAGGGTTTCATTATTTTACTTGTGCCACCCTGGGTGGCCTTTACTTTAAATTTAAAATATAACAGGTAAATACAACACATACAATTAAAAATAAAACCATGCGTAGACATAATCCTATTTTATCTTTATAATAATGTAGTCAAATCACAATTTAGAAATACTTGTCTTTTGTATATAATGACCGTAAGTTCAATAATCAGCACAATCAATTCAAAATTTGGGAAACCTTCTAATGAGAGACATGCAATATAGGTTCTAAGGCTCAAGATGTGCTTGTGGCTTCCTTCTCCATAAAAATGAAATCTCGATTCCTGGTAGGGGTCATCAAACGCATTCCATAGTCCATATATTGGCATTATTGTAAATCTCAATCTCAAACTGGCATGCATCTTTGATCCATATACTTCAGAAACTTAGATTCCAAATATGTTAGAATCACGATTCGAAACAACAACATATCTCTGTTCCACATATGTCAGAAACTCGATTCCGCATATTGATGAATATTGACTCTTGGAGTGTCGATTTCAAGGGGATGGGAATCTCGATTCCAAGGAGGACCGAATCTTGATTTTATGTGGATGAAACTTGGATCTATTTCGATCGAAACATGATTATCAAAAACTAGGAATTTTGTTCCTAGCGATTCCTATTGTACAGACAGCGATGCCTAAGACAAAATCTTCTAACTGGCCGCGATTCCGCAATTCCGGTTCCTAAAACGATTCGGGTTCCCAGGCATGTCCAACAACTATGATCTGAAACCATATGAAAAAAGTGCTACATTGGCTTTATTCCTTTGAGCATGTATTAGTTGCTTCTTGGATACCTTTAGGAAGAAATATAATAAAGTGATACACCATAAACACATAGAAATAGCTATATATCTCAAAATGCGTTCCACACTCATTACATTATCTGAAAGCAGCTCCATATATTGGCTTATTCCTTGGAGTGTGTTTCAGCAAACCCATGGGTTCTATGCTTATCTTGTGAACATGCTTTTTGCACAAAGGTGTTCAAGAACCTATGCCAAATGGGGCTTACTGGACATATACGCACAAATCTTGAATGATTGGAGCCATTCTGATGCGTCTGTGTGCACAAACTTCAATGATCTAAACCGGGCATACCTAAATTATTCTTCCAAACCTGGAAACTTTTGAAACCCCTTGGAAAGCCGAAATCTTCACGACATTCGTTGTCTTCTTGGTTTTAGATCCTCTAGATTCATCTCTATCTCTCACTCTTTGTTTTTTTTGATGGATAATGCTTCCAGGTTCTTTTATATTTAGGAACTTTCGGTACCTTCCAACACTTGGCCCAAGAACTACTTCACTCATAGGAGGTGTTGATGGAATTTCTTTCACGTTAGGTACTACATTTTACATGGATGAATTATGGCGATTTACATTGGGTTATTATCATGTTCTTCGTATAGGGGCTTTTATGTTTTTTGCCCACATTGTACTTCCATTTGTGTGTTGCCATAAATATTTGTGTTGGAGGCCTTTGAGAGACACTGGGCCTTAAAACTTGTATTGAAATGAATGGTTACTTGGACGGGTTTGGGGATGTGGAATTTGGTAAAACTGAAGTTTTAGTAGTGGTTGTGGTACATTACCAAAAATTCAATTAGAATGAGTATGCATCCACTTGCACTCCAAGGAGCATAGACAAATGGGAAAATTGATGCCAGGGGTGAGGAAATGAGGAAAGAAAAAAAGAAAAACAAAAACAAAAAGAAAAAGCAATAGTATTAAAGGAAAGTATTAAAGAAAAAGAAAAAGCAATAGTATTAAAGAAAAAGGATAGTATTAAAGGCAAAAGCAAGCTAGTCTTAAACTATGTGACTGCATCATCCACATTAACACATTGATACGCTGCACCTTCCTTAGCAAGCCTATTTCCTCATTAGCATGCTGCTTGCAAACTCGAGTCTCTTCTAGCCGGGCGAATGACATTAAGTGTGACCTTCGACTATAAGTGGTCCTGAGATGGATGCCATAGAGACCCTTATTCAAAAAGAATGGCCATTGCCTCTGTTTAGGATTTATCGCAATGACCGACAGCACCGGAGAAGGCTTTTGAATATGCCTTATACTATCAGGAAATATGCACAATCCCTGCTGCCCTAAAGACTGAGGTGTTTTAGTGCTTTAAATGCTACAAATACTTCATGTGGGACTTTTTCCCATGAATAGTTTATGACTACGTCTATCTTCATGTTTTGTAAGCACTCTGTATTGGATGATCTGCACATAATATGGCACAATTTGCAAAATTGCTTCCAAATTCTTCTTTTTAACTTCTGAAAATGGCCTGCGTTCATCTAGACAAAAATAAGACTCTGAATTATGGGGGTAATCTTGTCATTTTGATACTCTGTTCGCAAAATTTTAGTGCATTGTGATTGTCTGTTCATGTGATTTGTTCTCCTATCGTTGGTTGCTATTAATTCACTCCATTTTATAGGTTATGGCCGTAATTGCAGACTTTATGCTTGTATGGCTTCCTGCTCCAACTGTTTCTCTCCGGCCACCTCTTGCAGTTAGTGCGGGACCCATTGCTAAGTTCTTCCATAACTGTCCCGACAATGCTTTCCAGGTAACTCAATATTGATCTCAGCTTTTTTTGGGACCTACCCTTGCAAACGCAAATTATTGTGGCTACTTGATGTTTGAAAATTTCTACCACAGGTTGCCTTGGCCGGAACATCTTACTCATTTATACAACGGGTAGGAGCAATAATGGTAAGTTTCAAAGTTTATACCCAAGCTGTTTAGTTTTTTTAGGAGAATCTCTTTGATTATTGCTCGGGATGCTCCTTTATCTACTTTGTGCCACCAGAATATTTTTATCACTGTATTTGATTTTTTTATGCAGCGCAATGGAGCAAAGCTTTTCGCTGTGGGGACCAGTGCATCTTTGGTAAGCATATATATGTTAGATCTTGTATTAAAACCTAAACCTTTTGAGTAACCTTGTATTATTATATTGGGAAATTGTTTTTGATGGTTTTCTTGTCAGATTCTTTTCAAATATTATTGGTTACAGGTAAACCTATTTGAATTAGTTTTGTTTTCTGTGCTGTAGCAGATTATTGAAAGCATTCTCCCTCATTATGCTAACCATTTTATTTATGTGACTTCTACATGGTAACTAGTCTACTTGAAGGGAGTATGGGCCTGCAATGATCTGTTGAGTATGCTTCTTGTTTCAACTATTTGATAGAAAATTAATATTTGAGATATTATAAGGTTGTTTTCTTTTGCTTTTCATTTATCGTAATACAGGTCGAGCTTGGTTAACCCTTATTTATGTGAAGTATGATACAGAAATATAGAGAACAAAAGGTATAATTCAAAGCACATCAAGGAATTACAGATGCTTCTGAAGGAAATGAGCAACTCCTTTTTAACAGTAGAAACGAGTAATATAAGAAATTGGCTAGTTGATCCTTGCATGATTTGCTTTATTGATATCTACATTCTATACCAAGGCCCATGCATTGCCTAACGTTAAGGAAACAAGCAACATCAGTACTGGTAAGATAAGAACTTGGATGTCCATCCTCATAAACTCTGCTTACACCTAAAGCGGCACCTTTTCTGGCAATCATGTTCATAGTTCATTGAAAAAGGCATTCCATGTCTTCCAGTGAAAATTTCATTATCTGATGTTGATAAAGATGACCATACATGTGCACTTGATGAGGTCAAAGTTAAGCTTCCTTAAAGACCACGGACTATATAGAAATCTAATTTTTTGCTCTGATGCGTACGTGATAAATCATTCAGGTCTTATGCTTTAGCACTACTAAAATGTGGAAATTGTATTCTCAGAAGAAAAAAGGAAAAATGTTGGAACTGTCATTGTCCACCTTTGACTGGTGGCAATTGAGTTTCTAGAAGAATTTCCTGCTTCAGAATCTTGAATTCTCTCTTATAGTGGATGAAGAGGTGCTAATATCATTTTCCACATTAAATGCTATAATTTATCATTCAGGCCTCTTATTTGAGATCTCAGGAAGTTGCTTCCGTTTTACTAAATCCTTTTAAGTTTTTTTGGTACAATGGAATCTAACTGTTCTCATAGTTCATGTTGTTAGTGACAAAAACATTGTGAGCTACTCCTATCCTCTCTGCAACTCTATAAGCATCTAATTGTTTAAACTGTTCCCAGGTTGGTACAGCTGCAACGAACGCTTTGATAAAGGCAAGAAAGGCACTGGACAAAAATTTTGCTGGTGAAGTTGAGGATGTCCCAATAGTGTCAACCAGTGTTGCTTATGGTGTTTACATGGCTGTGTCCAGCAACCTAAGGTATGAAGTTCCTTCGCATGTCAAAATTGAACTCTTTCTGAATCATTTTGCAGTAAACCGTTTGTTCAACCTCTACTGTGCATAAGTTTTCAGTGTTTTTTTTTCCCTGGGGTGTCAATTTGGTTCTTCTTAGAGAGGTTCATAGCTTAGACTGATCTCTCCTGCAAACAAGACGTCACTGCATTTGACCAAAGAACTAAGATTAACTTTTCTACTAAATTTCCTAATATCCGTTTATAGAGCCTCTCCAACTAGGGGGGATGAGTAAAGAAGAAAAACATATGGATGTTGCAAAATCTAGGTAGGATGTGCAGGAGTATGATTAAATGGCCTTGTTGACTTATGATGTGATAAATATGTAATCAGCGACCTGATTATTTGTCTATTGCATTGTTAAGTAGAAAATAACAGTGTCTAATACTCGATTGATTGCAACTACCATTAGGTCAAATGGGTTGTCATGCAAAGGCGATGGCAGAAAGGTGCCAGTATGGGGGTGTAAATAGGGATTGTATGCCATCTGAGATTCCCCTTACATATCTACTTTATTATTTCTTTTAATGTGGTTTTTACTATTAATAAGAACGAAAACAAACAAAGAAGGGCTACAGATGAAAGTTGATTCTGATTTACTGCTTGAACATCTCATTCATGACCAGTGTTTCAAAACCCTAACACACTTCCTGGACCAAAAGGGTCCGGTGCAATTCGGACTCACTGGGTACCGAGTTGGATTGGCGAGTCTTTTCTTGGAGAAGTTGCACCTTTTTTTTAAAAAAAATATTCATTGGTTTTATTGTGACTGGGATGGACTCCATTAACGACGATGCACCTCGGTCAAGACTCAGATCATCCAAGTTTGGGTTGTCCAGAACCTGCAGGGTGTTGATTCCGAGTTATTCAAGGGTGTCTGATAGTCCTTATTGGACTCTTTGAGTTTTAAACACTGTGCATGACTCGGTGCTTTTGAGGATTGGATGAGGCTTCTTAAAAGGGGTTTTTGATGATAAAGAGCTAAGCACGATGGCAAGCACGATGGCATGTGTTAAAGTGAACCAGAACCCGGTAGATAGGATTCCGTGGTGGATTGAGCAGTCAAAACTTGTATTCCAAAATGATTTTTCTTTTCTTCCATGGATCACTCCAATTCAAAATTTATTCACTCCAATGATAGGATTGGTAACACAAAAATGTGATACATGAGGCAAAATTCAATGCCACTTCCATGATTTCAAGGAAAATAATGATATACACAGAAGTGATGATAATTTGGATCGAAGTAGCCTGTACCAAGCATGTTTATATGGCACCGCGCATTCTCAATAATGTATGACAGATTAACTGTAGAACCCAATGACTGGCTTTTTACCCTGGTGTGGTTAATTTTTAACGTTTGTTTTGAGAACCATAGGTGGATGCCATGGTTTGTGTGATATACTTGCCATCATGTCAAAGCATCATGACCATCTTGATTGGCTGGATGATAGATAAACATGCTGCGAACAAACTTTTAACAAAATCTCAGTCTTTCAAAGCCCAGCAATTCCTTGTCCGGATGAATTGGCTAGGACCGAACCAGTTCCAGGACGGTATCGGTACTAGTTCGGTCTGCTCCTCAATCACCCCCTTTCTTTCTTTATTTATTTTTTATAAATAAGAAAAAGAAAAAAAATTTACCTAATATTTCCCTATGCTCCCTCCCACGCCCCTGCCAAAAAAAAAAATTGGGATGGTGAAAAAAAAAACCCCTATTTTAAAACTTTTATTATTTTTATTTTTTAATATTTTCCTGGATTGCTGATTCAGATTGATCCGACATAGATATTTGGGGTGGAAAATCCACCCCACCGATCTGGGTTTTGCAACACTGTGTGATACCTGCTATTACTGATGAAATTCATTTATTGAATCGATGTAAAACTTAGGCACAATAGTCATCAGCATAAACATTACCAAAGTTATGCTATGGCTATACTAAAGCCATATTTGGGGCATCACAATTTTAGGCTGATTTTTTGGGGCTGATCTTTGTTTTTATGGTTTGGCAGGTACCAACTCCTGGCTGGTGTTATTGAGCAGCGAATATTGGAACCTTTGCTACATCAGCACAAGCTCCTGCTGAGTGCTTTATGCTTTGCAGTTCGAACAGGAAATACATTCCTGGGGTCATTAATGTGAGATTCATCAAACTTTCACCTTCCATGGCTTTCATTTTGCGCAATTATTCAGTTGAGATCATATATCTATGATATGACTTAGGTGGCTGCCTTTGGCTGATGCGATGGTATAGATGCTGAGAATATATTTACTTATGGAAATATGTACCATACACCCGTGGTGTATGATATGTGTTTCATGACCAAAACATTAATCTTCGAGTCCAGATGAAGTGTGGAGATTAACCATACCTGAGTTGATGTGTGTCAATGGGAAGTATGGTTAATCTCCATCATCTATCAAATGTGAACACAGTGGATGATCCAGTGGTTTATCATAGACCTCAGACCAGTGGTGTGTGGTATACTTCTGAAGTACACATAGCTTATCAATATCTTCCAATTTTTCGGAATTCAGCTGATATCTGATCAATTATCAATATCATGCTGTGAGATATTTGTGCCAGTAATTCATATATTAGCTGCTATATATATTTATTTGGCAGTATTAGCCCATATATTGTTAATATGGGTTGTAGGACTGTCTTTTGGAACTAGGAGATAGCTGGCTCATGCTATTACTAATTTTCAAAATTTTGGGCCAATGTCTCTTAGCAATAGGTGAATCATTGACCCAAATTTTCTTTTCTCGTAATTGGTTGTTCTTTTTCCTATGGCTTTCTTAGCATGAGGTAACTGTTTTAACTTCACTCAACCATACATCCAAAAGTAAACAAAAATACAGATACTTGCTTTATACTCCAACTTCATTAGTAAAAGTTTCAATCTACTGTTCCATTTATTGTCATATTATTTCCTTAGATCAACTATTCGTTGTTCTTGCGAGATTTTGTGGAGTCTGTTTATTATCCAAAAGATTACGGTGGTATTTATCAAATTAGAGTTCTTGAACCTTGATTTCTGTGAATACCTTTCTATGAACAGGTGGGTTGACTACGCTCGATGGGTGGGTATTCAAAAAGTTCGAGAGTGATTGATCATTGGGGTGGATTTTTACGTCTCTCATGGTTTGGCATTTTTTATGATTTGTATAGATATGGAGTAGTCAAAGAAAAAACCATTTTTTCACCATGATTCTTCCAGGGTGCTCTTTAAAGCCCTGTAGTTTTGGCAAAAACAAGGCTAGAAACTTAAGTTTTGATGGTTTCAGCTGCTTATTGAAACTGTTATTTTGGATTTCAGCCGAGAATTGGCACCTTAGAATGAGAAATAAAATCAAAATAAAAAAAATTTATACTCCCATGGGAGTATACTGTCTATTTATCCCATCGGGTACAATCCCATTCTAAGGTTAATTTTTTATCCTGAAATTTTGGGGAGGTAACCTCTTCAACCCGTAGGTTAATATCAATTAAAAGATTGCCAATGGCACCTTTAATGCACTTCAAAAACAAAATAATATCTCAATATTGAACGGAGACCTTCGAAATTTTAGTAGGTGAGATCTCAGTATCATAAAACTCAAACTTCAAAACTTTTCTTTTAAGAATAATGATCTGGTAATTATTAAGTGGTTCCCAAAATTTTAGATGGGAAAAATCATCATCTTTTAACTGAGGGAGAAGACGTACACTCTGCACTCGTGGGTGAGAAAGAGAAGGAAGTTCGGCTTTCCCTTTTACATTCAAAAAGTGTCTTTAGGTGTCTATATCCTCCATATTTTTTAGTAATTTTCTTGAATAATTATTCCAATTGATTCATTGTTCTCGTGCATACTTTCATTGTTCTCGCACTTGAAAATTAGCTATAAATGAGCAGTTAGAAAGTCTCCCCCTTTTTTTTGTAGCTAAACTAGCTTGGATCCGGAGACTGCTTGTTTATTCCAAACAGATGCATAATGGTTATGATGTCGATAAAAAATGCAGATCAAGATTTGGTTATTCTAAATTCTAATTTTGATTTTAATTTTATTAATTTTATTTTTAAAGATTGGGTAGGCTTTTTAGTTTTATTTATTGGGGTTAATTATTAAAAATATGATTTGTGGGTTAGTTGATAAAGTTGGTATGTTTTTTTTTATTAAGTTATCTTTTTGTTAAGATCTTTTGTAGGTGAGATCTATTCTTCTTTTGGATTAGAAAGATGGAGATAGCGATCTATTTTGAGTTGGTCCTCTTGAAGTCTGTCTTTTTTATTGAATATTAGATAGAGTTGAAGATCTTTTTAGTAATTATGATTTATTAGAAAATAAAGAAAACTTTAGAGACAAGGAAGATATCTATTAAGGATGTGAGACATGAATGGGAGAAATGATCCATTCCTTTTTGGTAGGGAAAGATAAGGATGCGTTTTTTATAAGGGTAGTTGGTGGTGTGTAGGAAATAAGAAAGTTGGGTTAATGAGGGTAGGAGTTGAGTAACATTTTTTTTGTTATCATTTTCTTTTAGTAGTTATCTTTAGGGTTGTGAATGTAAATTCTTATAAAAGGAGCACATGATTTGTAATATGGGAGATTGAATTTTATGAATGAAAAAAGTGGCAGTTTGTTGTAGATAGAGAGAGGCTTTTTGTGGGTATTGTTTCTTCTCTTGAGTTTGTGGTTTGTGTCGGAATACTCCTATTTGCACGTTTTTGTTCTTTCTTCTTTTGATGTCCGTCACGATTTTATTTTTCTCTTAAACGCGATCATTTTTGTCGATATTGTTTGTCGATTAGTTTAATACTGAGTCAGGTGGTATCAGAGGCTATATTTTTGTGCAATCGCATGCTCTTGACAAGGCATCATGGTTCTTGGATCGTCCTCGACAACAAAAGGTGTCGGGAATGAGCCGATTTAGCGAGTGCGGGACCTCCATGAGAGGGAGTTCGAAAATTTGAGAAGACAAGTAGAAAAACTAACCCTGCGCTTGATTCAAAATCCAGTCCTGGCACACTATGATGACGATAGTGAGTCGGAAACTGTTTTCGAGAAGGTGCTCCATGTGCACATTTCTCATCGGGAGCCCCATGTTCGGGATAACAGATCTTGGATCTAGGCATTAAAATTGATCTTCCAAAGTTTGCAGGGGGATTGCAAGCAGAATAATTTATTGATTGGATTGATTTTATCGAGCGCATCTTTGAATACAAAGATGTGCCCGATGATAGGAATGTGAAGCTCGTGGCTATTAAGCTTAAGGGTCGTGCATCAATATGGTGGAAGCAATTGAAAAAGACTTAGGTAGACATGGAAAATCGAAAATCTCTTATTGGGAAAAGATGAATAAAAAGTTAAGGGAGCAGTTTTTGCTCTTTAACTATACCTAGATGATGTTTTAGCGACTTCATACCTTTCGTCAAGGAGAGAGGTCTGTTGATGATTATACTGAGGAGTTCTATCAATTAGTTGCACGGAACGATTTGTCTGAGACTGAATAGCAACAAGTTGCTCAATATATTGCGGGACTGCGCCAATCAATACAGGATGTCTTAAGTTCATACTCTTTATGGATTGTGTCAGAAGCCTATCAACGAGCTTTAACTGTAGAGATGCAACAGTCCATGAGCAAGGTTAGTGCAGCCACGAGAGGAGATTCGGGTCTCCAAACAGGCCAGTTTCAAGATCATGATGCTAAGCATGAAGATGCATCATTTGGGGCAGTAGAGATCTTGTTGCAACACCTATTAATCACCCAAATACTCCTAGTCCACGTGCTAGAGTTTAGGGCAGTAGCTCAGCTCTCTATTGTTTCAAGTGCGAGGAGGCAGGTCACAAGGCTGGAGACTGTAAGAAGCCGAATAGCCATCTTGATAAAAGCAAGCAACTCTTGATTGTGGATGAGAACCTAGATGATGTTGATGGGTATGATGTTGATCCAGTTTATGATGAGGAGCCATATGAGGATGATTTTGTCTATGGAGATGTTGGAGAGTCTTTAGTTATTCGTAAGAGCCTACTAACGCCTAAGCAAGAAACCCAATAGGATTGGTTAAGGACCAATATTTTTCACATCACCTGTACCATTGGAGGCAAGGTGTGTGAGCTTATTATTGATAGTGGGAGTTGAGAATATAAAGCTGCAGTTAAAAAGCTCGAGCTCGATACAGAGAAGCATCTCTAACCAGAGAAGCATCTCTAACCGTACAAGCTTACTTAGTTCAAAAAGGGTAATGAGAAATGAGTAGAAAATAGATGCCATGTCTCTTTTTCTATTGGAAATAAATATTGTGATGATGTATGGTGTGATGTGGTTGTCATGGATGCTTGTCATTTATTATTGGGTAGACCATGACAATATGACCGTAGAGCTATACATGATGGGAGGAGGCACACATATACTATTTGGAAAGATATTAAAAAAACTATATTAGCTCTCATAAAAAAGGAAATTACACGTAAGCCTAAATCGGTGTAAATTTACTCTATGGACAAGGTTGAGGAGACACGATTAATGTTTGTTTTAGTGGCTCATGAGGTTGAGCCCTTGAATTATTTGACGAAGAAAAGAATGAAGCACTCAAAGGAGAATCCATAAGTGAGGTTAAATTAGTCATCGAACATTCTCAGCTTGAGTATGTTAGAGCTGAGCATAAACACTTCTTATGGCTATACGATGACCCATTCTTCGAGGGTTTATTGGTTTTGGTACCCTATCAGTTTCTTTTAAACAGTATTGTAACCCACATGTTCCAGGATCGTGTTTATAACATTCGAGTTGAAGAAAGATGTGAGGAAAATTTGATCTTATCTCATTTTAAAACTCGAAGACGAGTTTTTTCTAACCAGGGCAGAATGATGCAGATCAAAACGCAAATCAAGATTTGGTTATTCAATTTATTATTTTTTTTATTAATATTTTTTTTAGAGATTGGGTAAGCTTTTTATTTATATTTATTAGTTAATTATTAAAATAAGATTTTTTGGGGTAATGGATAAAGTCTGTATTTTTTAAGGGTATGAATAAGTTGCTATTTTTTTATGGGTGAGGTTCGTTCCTCCTTTTAAATAAGGACGATGGAGATAGCAATTTATTATGGGCCATCTTGAGAAGGAGTAATATCATTAAGTTTGTCATTTTTATTAAACATTAGATATAGAGTTGAAGATATTTTTAGTAAGTATGATTTATTAAGAAATAAAAAAGACCTTAGAGAGAAGGAAGATTTCTATTAAGAACGTGAGATATGAATGGGAGGAAGATATGATCCATTCCTTTTTGGTAGGGAAAGATAAGGGAGGTTTCTTTATAAGGGTAGTTGTTGGTGTGTAGCAAATAAGAAAGTTGGGTTAACGAGGGTAGGAATTGAGTAACATTCTTTTTGGCAGGGAAAAATTTTATATAACGTTGCAACCTTAAAATGTCCTATTATAGATGCACCTAAAAAATTCATCGGAAAAAATTGTTTCAATGTTGAAAAACATTTCAATTGATCATCTCGACATCGAGAATAATGAATATGAAAAAATATATTTTAGTTTCCAGAAATAGTACATCTTGCAACACATTATCTAGATCGTCTATTTTCAAGATTTTCATATGTTTATATAGATCCACTTGATTTTAACCATTTTTGGAGTTTACAATTTTATAATTAAATATGAAAATAGATTTTCAGATAATTAAAAGAATTTTTTACACCAAAATTATATGTTATGATAAAATTTGGAGGTGTGCCTTAAATAGATTGTTTAAGGTTGCATCCTTGTACAAACTACACCTTTTTGTTAGTATCTTTCTTTGAGTAGTTATCTTTAGAGTTGCGAATTTAAACTCCTATAAAAGGAGCACGTGATTTGTAATAGGGAAGATTGAATTTTATGAATGAAAAAAGTGGCGGTTTGTTGTAGAGAGAGAGAGTGAAGCCTTTTGTAGGTGTTGTTTCTTCTCTTGAGTTTGTGGTCCATGCCGGAACACTCGTATCTACACGTTTTTGTTTTTTTTTTTTGTGATTTTCTTCACAATTTTATTTCTCTCTATCTCTTAAAAGCAGTTATTTTTGCCGGAATTGCTTGCCGGTTAATTTTATAGGGATAATATCTCCATACTTCTTATTTTTAAGTTTTATATCTCAATAGATTCAAGTTTTCAAAATTTATCTTGGGCATAAAAATTCTAAGTTTTATATCTTTTAACCCTTTAAGCTAACTTTATCCCCTTAAAACTTATTTTTTTGCCCTAAACAAATATAAAAAAGATAAATCATTTCTAAACACCGTCATTTCTCTCTTCATGTGATTTTCCCCTAAATCTCTCTCTACTTATTTTCTCACTCTCTCCCCCGTCTCTCACTCACTCTGTCCCTCATTAAAGAGAGAAAGAATGTGACTGTTAGAGAGAAATTTGGGA